TTTCTTATCATTACAATATAAAAAATTAAAGCGGGGTATTATTTCAGACCTCAAAATTTCTGTATTAGATGTAAAACATCAACCTGTACATATAGGATACTTGAGTGTAATAACATGTATAAATAATGGTTGATTCATTAGGTCCTGGAACGCATAACCTTAGACAATGTAATACAATTGCGCTTTCCGATCTCGGAGACACAGAAGGATTCGGTAAACCCGGTACCGATGGCAAGTTATACGCTTTACACTTACAAGATAATGTATACAAGCAAAGAAGTTACATTCACAAAAATCTAGGAGATTTAAGCGATGTCGATGTTAGTAGACTCAATAAAAACACTTCATACAATCTTACTCGTAATGATGATAATAAATGGACTATGGTCGAAGAAAAAATCGAATGGCTGTGGAATATCGTCATTACCCCACAATATGTGATGATGGGTAAGGGACATCATTTAACTAAGATAATAAATAGTGGAATCGTACTCGGGGCTTATATCCCCTCAAAACGAAAAAGTGTGTTAGTCTCTCCCCTGCTAGAAAACCCAGGTCATAGGTTATTTAGTCGTCCGGCAGTAAAAAATGTTAGTTTAAATTTGGTTACTGAATTCAATGATATAAAACAGAACTTGAGTGCTATACCTGCTCTTTCTACAATTATTATTGAAGTCTTTTTTGGAGATGCACTCGAAGATGCTTTCGAAATATTATCAGGTCTATCAATTAAATGGCTTTATGGGCGTATCACCCGTTGCAACCCTTGAGGGGGGTCCAAGTTAATAAAAGTGACAGCATTTCTCTTACAAAGATATTTATGCCATATAATATACATTCAATAAGGCTGATGTATACTATCAAAACATTGAAGCAAGACCAATTAAAGACTACTATATGATATAATAATATACACTATGAGTTTATATCCAGCGCTCATATGAAGCATTTGAAAAGATGGATACTGTTGATGGATTTCGATTACATCAAATAAGCGACATAAAACATCGAATAGAGAAGGAGAGGGAGATGAGACTTGGATTGTTTAAAAAGTATTGCAGAGCTGTGAATGCTCTCGACGGAGATGACACTGCGCTTGTAACAGCTAGCATGGGACTCAGTGTAGCTGGTGTTGGTTTATTATCAACTATAATCTCCGCACCTATCGTACTTGGCATGGAAATAGCTACCGGAGTCTCAGGACTGGCAGGAATAGCGATAAAATTTATTTCTCGTAAGTTGCAAAAGAAAGCATTAAAAAAACATGATAATATTAGGATACTCGCCGAAGCAAAGTTGAACAGCATTGAGGATTATATTTCAACAGCAATGGCTGATTGTAAGATATCCGAGGAGGAGTTTCGTTTAGTGCTGTCGGAACTCACCAAATACAACGTAACGAAGCTGGAGTTTCGATCCAAGAAAAAAAAATTCATAGAACAGGGGAGACAACAAGCGCGTCAATTATTCCGTGCCAAAACCAAAGAACTGGTTGGAGATTAAAAATAGATTGCTTCCTATCGTTGGAAAATACAATATTTTAGAGGAATGCTTACATTAGTATATAATAATGGAGAATTACAAGCCAATCAAATGGCGAGAATTACCACAGGATATATATTATATCAGTGATGTCAAACCAACCAAATACGGTCATCAATTGTTTCTTTCCAATTTAGAACAAGTATTTGTCACAGAGTGACGAAATATCCCCCGCCTGTACACCATAGTACCAAATATGAAGACAATCCAGCGATTAGTTCTTGAGATATTGTGGCAACACCGTTTTCCAACTCCAAAAACAGATTTGCCTGCTGTGACCTTGAAAATGGGGTCAAGGTCACCAAATCTGACAGGTGTATGCGGTGTCTGTATATACACTATAGTTCCAAATATGAAGACAATCCAGCGATTAGTTCTTGAGATATCGCGGCAACACCGTTTTCTAACTCCAAAAGCAGATTTGCCTGCTGTGACCTTGACAATGGGGTCAAGGTCACCAAAACCGACTGGTGTCTGCGGTGTCTGTATATACACCATAGTTCCAAATATGAAGACAATCCAGTGTTTAGTTCTTGAGATATCGCGGCAACACCGTTTTCTAACTCCAAAAGCAGATTTGCCTGCTGTGACCTTGACAATGGGGTCAAGGTCACCAAAACCGACTGGTGTCTGCGGTGTCTGTATATACACCATAGTTCCAAATATGAAGACAATCCAGTGTTTAGTTCTTGAGATATCGCGGCAACACCGTTTTCTAACTCCAAAAGCAGATTTGCCTGCTGTGACCTTTAAAATGGGATCAAGGTCACCAAAACCGACTGGTGTCTGCGGAGTCTGTATATACACCATAGTTCCAAATATGAAGACAATCCAGTGTTTAGTTCTTGAGATATCGCGGCAACACCGTTTTCCAACTCTAAAAGCAGATTTGTCTGCTGTGACCTTGAAAATGGGATCAAGGTCACCAAAACCGACTGGTGTCTGCGGAGTCTGTATATACACCATAGTTCCAAATATGAAGACAATCCAGTGTTTAGTTCTTGAGATATCGCGGCAACACCGTTTTCCAACTCTAAAAGCAGATTTGTCTGCTGTGACCTTGAAAATGGGATCAAGGTCACCAAAACCGACTGGTGTCTGCGGAGTCTGTATATACACCATAGTTCCAAATATGAAGACAATCCAGTGTTTAGTTCTTGAGATATCGCGGCAACACCGTTTTCCAACTCCAAAAGCAGATATGCCTGCTGTGACCTTGAAAATGGGGTCAAGGTCACCAAAACCGACTGGTGTCTGCGGAGTCTGTATATACACCATAGTTCCAAATATGAAGACAATCCAGTGTTTAGTTCTTGAGATATCGCGGCAACACCGTTTTCCAACTCTAAAAGCAGATTTGTCTGCTGTGACCTTGAAAATGGGATCAAGGTCACCAAAACCGACAGGTGTCTGCGGAGTCTGTATATACACCATAGTTCCAAATATGAAGACAATCCAGTGTTTAGTTCTTGAGATATCGCGGCAACACCGTTTTCCAACTCCAAAAGCAGATATGCCTGCTGTGACCTTGAAAATGGGGTCAAGGTCACCAAAACCGACTGGTGTCTGCGGAGTCTGTATATACACCATAGTTCCAAATATGAAGACAATCCAGTGTTTAGTTCTTGAGATATCGCGGCAACAAACAGGTGGGACGTACGGACGGACGTACGGACGTACGGACGGACGTACGGACGGTCGTGAATACTATATCCCCCGCGGGGGATAAAAAGAGTATATAGTCTGGTCTCCTAGTAAAATGAACGAAGAACTTAGTAAAAATGTTGAATATCACTTTGTTCAAAATAATGGTAAGCGTATGAGTAAAAATAACAGAGAATATTTTCATTACAATTTAGTTTAATATCATGACAACATTTGAATCGCATCATCGTTTTGACATAGAAAATCCCCCCTGTAGTAGCAGTATAGGTATATAAATCTGGCTCCAGTGGAGTTGCAGCAGAACCCCCATTACCTATACTACTCAATGACAATTGCTTCGTGAAATATATTACACCCATCTGACTATATTTAGAAGAATAAGAATGTAAATGGTACTTACAGACAAGTGCATACTTATAATTGATTTCAAAATGATTTTATAACTTACAAATTGATGATGACTAGAAGGAGTTCAAGTCAATGTGATTTGTAAGATTTTTTTATATTAGTTTAAACAGTTTATTTGTTTATTTCTTGTTTGCATGTATAAAACAACATTTTGAATTTTTGGAATCGAAAACAATTTATTATTATCTACACCGAGGTAGATTCTGGGAACTTCCAGATTATACCCCCTGAGGGTAGATTTGGGGAAAGGGGGGTAGATTCTGGGAAGTCCCCAAAATCTACCCAGGTATACTCTGAAGGGGGGTAGATTTTGGCAGCTTACACCGTGTCTTCACAAGGACAACATGAAAATAATTACTTAAGTAGAACCATAGCAGTACTATGGGTCCAAGCCTTATTTTCAACAGTAATAGTTACAATTGCTCTAGTTACTTCACTGCAAAATAAACCCTGCAATCGCTCAAGGTGCAACTGTAGATATTACAGTAATACTGTAGTGCCATTTTTGTCTTTTAACTTTCACAACCTAACCATAAATGATAGTCACAATCCATTATCATTTATCAAAGTTATTCAGGAACCTGCCACAGGCCAGTTGATATATTGTTATGTGCTCTTAAACCATCTAATTATCATCAAATTGGCTGGTTAATAGTCTTCTTAGAGGAGTATCTAAATATCAAACATAAATACCATCAAATACTTTTCAAACTTATTGTCTGGAAACCAGTACCAAGCTAATTCTAGATTGTTCATGTGACAAACTTAATATTGCTTGATCTTGCTGGTTCATGAAATTTGACATGTCTTTCAGATTGGACTATCCATTTACCAAACTTGTCAAAATTCTTTGATATCTTTGGACATCATTGTTTAGGCGGCAAGATAAAGTCTACTGTTCTACTGATATAGTGAATAAGGGCAATATCAAATTTATGAACACACAATAACAATGTTATATTTTTGGGATAACACTTTCTTAGTAAAGTACACATTCCAGTACTTTTTAGGGTTGGATCCCATCTGGTAATCGTACCCACACTCTCAGAGTGAGGCACCTAATCACCAACACACAAAATCAGCAATCTAACCACCTCAGCCACCAAGGCTTCCACAAAATGAAGGTTCGACAACTGGAAAGTCTAGATCAAATACTTTGAAAATTGGCACGGCTCCATGGCCAAAAGCTATGAACACACAATGCCATTTTAGGCTTAGTGGTTTAGATCGCTGATTAGGTGCCTCACTCTGGCAGTGTGGCTTCGATTCCCGGATGGGACTCAACCCCAAAAATTAGTAGAATCTGTACTTTACTTAGAAAGAGTTATCCTATATATAACATTTGTCACAAAATCAAATTTGTTTATATACGAGTATTTACTTACGAACAACATGGAAGATAGCATCACAAGCCTTGATGTTGGACAAGAATGCATTCCCAAGACCCTTTCCTTCATGAGCACCTTTCACCAAACCAGCAATGTCCACCACGTTAAGGAATGCTGGCACTTTGCTGTTAACAGAAAACCAACTATTACATGTATCTTGAAGAGACAAGGATTCCTGACATTTATTGCAGTCTGAGGGCACATGTGACAATAAATCAGAATTCCTTTGCCTCTTTTGACTTGAAAGAAAAAGATCTTCAGCAATCCATGCTTGCCTGAAAAGGCGACTATGCATGTCATAAGAGGCGAATAATGGGATTGGTTGGTCAGGCTAGGTCAGCACTTCTGGTTGAATGACATCAAGCACATCTTTTACCTCATCTCAGCATTATGCTATTTTAGTTGCAAATTTACAGTTTGTTAAGTTGTTTAATAATAATTAAATTAATAATGATAATAAATATAACTGCATACAGCAATGGTGGGCTCCAAGTAACACTGCGCACAAACATTCATGTTTGAATCCTCAAAGGGTTTCCTTATATACTCAACAACAAAAGTTCCTGTGACACCAATATTTCAGTGTATTTTTCAAACAAGTAAAGTTTGGTTTTTAATATTGTAGTACATGTATGGAATCAAGACACAAAAATACAACTGCTACAGAAAAGCATGCATTCCATGCAAATGTTGACTTTTATGCAAGCCCCATGTATTTCACTACCCAAGAATGGGTATAAAAACATGTGCATTAACAGGATTCCATATGCATTATTTAGCATCATGCTGACAACAACCACTCAGAAAAACAACAAAATTACGCTATTATTCAACATTACGAAATGCCACACCTGTCCGAAGATGAGCGTCTGCGAGCGAATGGTATGCTTGAAGCAGGATCGAGTCAACGTGATGTTGCAAGACAATTTAACGTCCACAGATGTTTATGACAGCGTTGGCAACAGACGAATGCAGTCATAGACCATCCTCAGAGTGGCAGGCCATGTGTAGCCAATAATCGACAAGACAACTGGATTCAAACAACGCACCTACGAAATCGATTTCAGCCAGCAACAGGGACTGCAAGAAGCATCCCTGGCCTTCGACGAATATCTTCACAAACCGTACCTCGTCAGATGTGCAGGGATTGTCGCCAGAATACCTGCCAGACGTCCCATTTTAACAGGAAACCACCGTCAAGCACGTCTACAGTGTTGCAGACAGCATCTACGCTGGACGGCAATGCAGTGGGGACAAGTTCTATTCACTGACAAGTCTCGATTTCACCTGAGACACAGCGATGGACGGATTCGAGTGTACCGACGTCGAGGTGAACGTTACGTCAATCATTGTGTCATGGAAGAAGATCGGTGGGGCCAGCAGTGTTATGGTATGGGGTGGGATGACAGCAAGACAGAGGACCCGTTTCATAGTGGTAGAGGGAAATCTCAATGGACAGCGCTACCACGACCAGATCATCGGCCCTGTTGTTCTACCGTTTTTGCGTCGTCATGGCCCAGGCTTTACCTTTCAACATGACAACGCCCGGTCTCATATTGCTCGACTTGTTCAGGATTCTCTTCAACAAAACAACGTGAATGTCATCCCCTGGCCGGCTCCAAGTCTGTTCTCAACCCATTTCCGACCTCGAACATGTTCGAATCCTCAAAGGGTTTGCTTGTACCAACTACGTTCAAAGATATTCACCAAACATTGCCGCTACAAAATTGGTGTGTTCCAGGGGTGTCCCAAATATTAATCAAATATTACCACCAAGCAGTGTTACTTTAAGCATGCAACCAAGAACAAACAATGAGATGCATATGGCACACTAACTTTAAAAAAACTATCAATAGTTTCTGTGGAGAACCTTACAAGATATGATCTATAAAGTAAAATTTCTGTGAAAAAAATGATGAAAATCAAAATCCATTATGGCCGCAACAAAAAAAGAGGTAAAACAAGTGCAAAAGTGAGCGTGGCTAGTGTGTCAGTAGTTACAAATTAAATAGCTAGGATAGGGTTAGGCAGGGTTCCCCCTAGACTCCAATATCTGAAAGTCACCTTGACTCAGCCTATGTATTTTTGGGAGTCAAAAATATTTTTTGAGAGTGAAATGTTTCATTATATGATTAATGAAATTTAAAGTGTTCACTGTTAATGTTACACTTAAAGTTAAGTATCTTTTAAATATTATATGTCTTTAGTTTAAGTTAACAAGTGCTAATTAATGTTCTCAGCTGATTGTACTACAGAGAAATAAAGGATATATGAATGAAAAACAAAGTTTGTTGGTTTTATCTTTTCACAATCTTTAATTACTTCACAGCTCATGAAACAATTTACAGTGACACTAATACAGGATGAATAAATAACATCAGTCTCAACTGTGAGACATAATTTTTAATCATGGATGGATATTAAAATACATTTTATGTCAGATTATAATTTAATACCACTAACTCATTTACATCTTTTATCTAGTTATCTTGTATTATCTATCAACAGTGAAGTTGAACTGAAGAATTGTGAACACTCGTAATATTTTCTGGTTGAATACAGTTTATTAGCAACAACAAACACGCCCAAAGCTTAACATTTCATATATACCATATTTATTCGTGTATAATACGCACTCGTGTATAATACGCACCCCTAATTATGGGCTATTAAATCCTGAAAAAAATATCTCGTGTCTTATTTCAGGCTGTCATGATCCGTCATCGGAAATAGCATAACAAATCCAAATTGAATTACGCAAGTTAATCCTGTTGTTACACTATCTGGTAATAAAAATGTGTTCTCTGTATATCTGACCTTATGTTTGTCATCTATTTTATTAATTTTATTTAAAATTTCATTCAATAATGTTTACCTAAATTTCGGCAAAAACATGTGTCCCTCCGATACTTACAACTTCCGTTTACCCCGTTCCATAGGTTCCGCTTAACCACATACTGTGACCACGCCAAATCACATTATTAACCCCAACAATGATAATATTTTCTTTTGTTTCATTTTTTACGAGTCTACACATCTAGATAAACATGTGTCATGGTTAACTTTTAGTGAGAAAATATGCCAAAACGTGAAAAACCACTTTGATGAATAAATATATTTTGTCGTGTACCTCACAGTCGCACAGTTTTAGTAGCATATCTATATAATTATGCAAAACAATATGTAAAGCCCCCGGCTGTTCTGATTTTAGCGTTTGTTTTAAAACGAGAGAAAAGTCTGGTCATGTGACAGGCTATGCAAATTAGCCCGTGGCAGTGGTGTTATGCAAAGTTATGTTACTTCTAAAAACGACGATTAATTAAAAACTAGACGTAAATTTTAAGACGTTTGCATATATTGTCTTCGGAAAATGTTTATAAATTAAGTAGTTGCAATATTTTCATTCCAAAGCTGGCAAACAACAACATAATTATTTTGAAATTGTGTCAGTCATGACGCAGTCATTTCTTTCTGGACGTATTTTTCCTTAATTGAGAGTCATGTACACAAGAATTCTGCGTCAGGGGAAACCCTGGTTAGGGTTCATTAAATTCATTAAAAAAATGGAAAATTAATAAAAAAATAAATTTTCTTTTGACTGCACCTCTCCATATGACACAGATTATATGTACTAAGTTTGAGATGAATCCATTGAATAGTTTAAGAGAAATCGCGCAGACAAAGTTTTCGGACAGACGTTAGGGTTTGAAAAATTAATTAAAAAATGGAAAATTAATCAAAACAATTTTTTTCTTTTGACTGCACCCCTTCATATGACAGATTATATGTACTAAGTTTGAGATGAATCAACTGAATAGTTTAAGTGAAATCGCGCAGACAAAGTTTCTGGACGGACGGACAGATGGACAGACGGACGGACAGACGGATGGAATCTTGGTATAACTATATACCCCCGACATTTTGTCGGGCGTATAAAAAAAAACTAATAGAGTTTGTTGTGACCAAAGTCAAAGAACAAGAAATGTCAAGTTATTAAAGCAGCAGACACATGCAAGTTTTGCAAGTAATCGGACAAGCGGTTTTCGAGCAATAGGGCGAAATATATCTGGAAAAAAATACTTGTTTTTCAGTTTTCTGCCCTTGGCCATTGGGCTTACGGCCTTGGGATTTTGGTGGAATGTAGTGCTCAACGATCGACATTTGAACAAAATCAAGCCAGTGGTTATTTTGCTAGCTCTGGTACATAAATCGGCGGAATAATAATAATATTAAATCGAACTATTACAATAGGGTTCTTCAGCCTTTCGGCTTGGTGACTCTTTAACAGGCTGTCACTTCTTTGTCATTTGAGCTTCAAACGGATTAGAGTTCTTAGTTCGTCAGGACCCCGGGTTTCTGTCGCATTGCTCAGATAAAGTGCTAAACCTGTCTCCGACCCTGTCCATATTCAAATCCTGAATTGGTTTGTTTGTACCAACGTTGTCAAAAGTAAGGAAACGCTTGCGAGACATCGCCGCCACGAAACTGACGTGTCCCGGAATGTCCTGGGATGTTCTTAACCCATTTCAGATGCCATCCATGTTCGAACCCACATATGGTTTGCTTGTACCAATGCCATCAAACGTAAGGAACCGCTTGCGACAACACCACATGTGTCAATTGTGAGGAACCGCTTGTGAGACATCACCACTACGAAATTGACATGTGGCTGGGTGTCCCATGGTGTTATTACCAATTTCCAACTTCGACCATGTTCGAATCCTCAAAAGGTTTGCTTGTACCCACGCCGTCCTACGTAAGGAACCGCTTGCGACAAATCACCACATGTGTCCCAGTGAGTTCTTTACCCATGTTTGACTTCGACATTGCCCAAATCCTCAAATGGTTTGCTTGTACCAACTCCTTCAAAAGATAGTCACCGTTTGCAGGCCGCTACAAAATTTGAGTGTGCCAGAGTGAACCAGATTGTTCTAACATAAGGATCCACTCAGATAGACATCACCGGATGTGTCAAACTTAACCAGTATGCAGGGTCAAACTTAACCAGTATCTGTTTACAACCTTAACAGTAAAACAGAAATGTTTGACAGTATGTCTGTTGAATTTGGATTGGAAAGTATTCATGGCTCAGTTGACATGCAGATTGTAGCGCAATCTACGACTA